CTGCCCATTGCCCATATGATATTGTTTGTTTTGCATTTGAAACTAAATAACAGCCGTGCCCATAATATCGCCACACTTTAATAAAATTAATTTCAAGTTACCATTTGTTTGAGTTACACTTTTCTGAGATAATATCACATCCAATTCTATTCGAATTGGAGGCTTTTATCGAAGAAAGTGTTAATTTCCCATATTACAAAATCCATAGATCCGCCTATAATCCCTATAATCAATTAGAGTTATTCCCCCTGAGTCAACTTCCGTTAATCCTTTTTCATTCACAGACTATATGAATGAGGTTGGTGCAATTTTAAGGGATAATTTTTTGCAAATTTAGATATTTAGAAAAATACCCTCCTCACCCAACCCTTATTCGAATAGATTTTTGCGCTGTGTTTTTCTTTCTATTGCAGCTGTCCTACAAAAGGATCACTTAATATCAAATGGTACGGCTGTTACAAGAAAAAGTCTACCTGGAGACCAACTTAGATAAACTTTTCGCAAACCTTGGCCACTGCTCCTCCCAGGGCCAATGTTTCCTAAACAGTGACTGATATATAAACGACAAGTAAAGAAGGCACATAAGCGGCATGTAATTCGTAATAAATATATCGTAAATATCACCTCTGGCGTATAAGCGGCATTTTGGTAATTATATTGTAAGCTTTGACCTCTGCACCTCCCAGGGTCAATGCTTTCTATATATATATATGGTGAACTTTGAACTTTGATGTTGTGAACTTTGAACTTTTGATGTTGTATGAACTTTGACTTACCACTATATGAACTTTGACCTTTGGTAATGACCTTGATATATGATTTGCTTTGATGTTGAATGTTGTTTGTGCATTTGATTGGGGCATGCTCTTGTCTTGGCTGCCCATTGCCCATATGATATTGTTTGTTTTGCATTTGAAACTAAATAACAGCCGTGCCCATAATATCGCCACACTTTAATAAAATTAATTTCAAGTTACCATTTGTTTGAGTTACACTTTTCTGAGATAAATATAAATTATATTACGCTTGCGTTTGTGCGCTGATTTACAATTTTATGCTTTCTTCATTTTTAATCCATTTTCCTATTAAATGTTATTTTTTCATCATGTACATGTAACTTGAATTTCATGATTTAAGAAATGAAGTCTGCGTTTGTGTGAATGTTGCAGGATGACGTCCGACGTCGAGAAATGTTGTTTGAAAGATAAAAGCCGAGGCATTGCAACATTACAACATTTTGAGACAGAGGAGCTTTTCCTGCATCAGTCGCGACAACAAGGACTTTATATCTATTCTACTAAAAGCTCTAAAATACGGCTGATCGTTTCTTTTATAGAGAAATGAATGATGTCACCATGTCTCCATTACGCTTTTTCATTTAACACCAAAGAGTAAATTTGTTTGTTTACCTCGCATGGAAGGCAGACAATTTGAGTTTCTCTACATTAAGATTAACCCTTTACTTATTATAAATCTGATTGTACCATAGACTATATAATTATTTTTATGAATATACAATAACAAATAAGTTTTCTATTTTATTGCTCTATCATTAAATTCACGAAGTTAAAATATGATGTAGGGAGGTCCATGAAACAGAACTGCTGAGGTATACGAACCTACATTCATCAGATATTAACACAGTGTTTCGACTCTGAAAGATGACAAATTGATGAGTTTAAATAAGTATTTCATTTTAGAGTCAAATATTTATTTCAACTGTTACAGTACAAGTTCGATACGTGTTTCCGATTTGATAATTTTTGATTTATTGGAGAATAATGTCAACGTCATTTCTTTGATCTCGGCATTAATCGTGATAGAATTGTATATTAACCTTCATTGTTTAAGATTTGATCTCAATTTTGTTATTGCTCCATTCAGCACAAAACGGCATTACAGCAAATGCGTTATTTACATTTAGAAGAACAGTGTGTTTGCTAACCCCCAAATTCATAGAGTCTTACTGGTGTATGTGCGAACTCAACATGGCAAGAATGGAATCCATATATTCAAGAAGAGGAGATAACATTATTTTTCTCATCGTTCTTAAAAAGAAAGTGATGAAGAATATACCATTGAAAATTATTGTTGATTTGTTTGAATCCCACACGTACTTAGAATATCCTGAAAGCGAATTGGAAACATGTTATTTTGGACCAAAATATGTGAAACATTGCAATCACCAACTACTGTAAATTCCTTATTTTTCGCTAGTGCTTTTTTTCCGCGAACTGGCTATTTAACGTCAAAACGCGAGAATTATAATTCGCGAATGGACGGTTGATCAACAGAATTAACGTAGATTTCAGCACCATAAAAATAAAAACGAGAAATATTTTTTCGCGAGCGATGCTTCTCGCGAAATTACGCGGAAATTAATTCCTCGCGTATAATTAGCTACAGTATGCAGGAATGACAACTCAACAATTCTTCATCCAAGAGTGAACACATCGTTTTCCCTCGAAGGAGAAAAATTTGACCCCCAACGAAAATGTATGATTTTTCAGTAGGTATTTGGAATTCACAAATAAACAATGGGATTTTTCTGATTCTAGGAATACATGTACTCAATATGAACGTTCTGGTTGCATTTAATGCACATGTAGAGTGCCGTTTCAAGGAAGAGGAACAATCACATGCATATTCAGAGATATTTAAATTGCAGCAGTTGTAATTTAAGTTAAACACTCAGCCTGTCTGTAAACAATGTTATAAATACCACTCTTTCTTCAGTTTTGGTTTGGATTTCAATAAAAACTACATACAATAGTAAGTCGCCCACCAGGCGCAGTGGTTAGAGTGTCTGCTTTAGAGTCGCAGAGTAAGGAGCTGATCCTTATGGCGCGGGTTCGAATGTACTGTGAGGCATGAAGACCTGTTGTATAGAGAGGATATTTAAAGGAATTAAGTCTGTTTCCCAATCTATTTAGTATGCTGATTAAATATAGTTTAAATCAAGGAAGCTTGAAAGTTTGTATATTACATTTTCTGTCATCCTCCAGAATTCAGAATCATACATTAAGGGAGATAATAAAATAAAAGAAATAGGGCTTAGTGCATGTTTTTGAGGGTGACAGTTGAAATTGAGACCCACTTGTATAATAAACCATGACAAATTCCACTGCTTTTTCAAAACCAACAAGAACGAGAGCTATAGATGGTACACTTACCTGAAGCTTTTTCAACATCTCTTGCCAAAATTCTTTCTGTCTTTGTTTCTGTTTTCTTTGTTTTTCTTTTTGAGACCAAATGTCAGCAGGAAAGTTGTGATGAGCTTAGTGAAGCCTGTATGGATAAGCAACCTGGTGTCTAACACACAAGTACTCTAAAGTTGATATCAAAAAGATGCTAGAGTTTCTCTGTTATTTTGGAGTCCAGGATGTCTGTGTTTCATCAACTTGTTGGTTAATAGCTTGCCTTGTTTGATATTTTTTGTACGTTGAGCATGCTCGTGCGTATTGAATCAACATTTGAATGCTTAAATCTGATGTTTCTCAGTACTGAATGAGCTTGAATACTGTTCGTTATCTCCATATTTCTGAACCATATTTTTGACAGTGGTATTCATGTAAGTCCCCAAGTCAAGCAACTTTATAAAATCTTTCTCATGGGATCAAATTGTTTTATCACATAAATTACAATTATCACTGTAAAGCTTTATGAGTTCGTTCTTGTTTTACTGTCTTTTCAAAACATTTTAAGAATATTATTGAAGTATTTTATCCTTAATCTTTCATTTTATTTTAGTTTTTTTTTAGAAAACGAAAAAGTACTAAAACAAATATCTTTATACGTATCTAATTCTCTCCTCCCCAGCTTCATTTCAATTGAAAACTAATGGTCACAGCATTCTTATGCAGGAAGATGCATTGTCATTATTTGGTCTATGAACCAGGGGCCAGTTTTACAAAAGAACTTATAATTACGACTAAGACCAAAAACTTCAGTTGATAGTAAAGTTTTGCAAAATTGATATTTCTGTTTAAAATTACTAGTGTAAACACATCGAACGACATTCCATTTGAAATGATTAAAATTATTTTCAATAGGCCTATATGTTATTAGAAGTTATATATAATGAATTAAATTTTGGTCCTAAATCGTAAGTTTTTATTAGTAAAACAGGCCCCTGTAATATTGATCAACTCAGTGTTTACAAAGATTTTAAAAAAAGAATTTCTTTAAAATAGCTTTCATTTAATCATTTTTACCAGCTAAGTAATGTGTGATGACGGAGTAGTCTGTAATGATTACTATTACAATGTGTATTACGAACTTTTTTTTTTACAGAATTGGCAATATAGAACAGTATTGGGTCCTCAGACCAATTCTTATACCAAGTCCTCAGTCCTCAATTGTATATATGTACATGTATTTCATTCCAAACTGCGTGTGAACTTTATTCACAAAAGCAAGTTAGGTTAAAAAATTGAGTTGTATAATTATGCTGACGTGATGAAGAACCCTCATTGTTCAAGGTCATAAGAGCAGAGTGTGTGACGTCCACCGGTAACTGGTGACATCCAAACATCAGTTCACAACGGTGATTTAAGGAAGCTCATTACATCCACAGTTTATTTTAAGCATCACTTTTAATGTAGATGTCAAATATTCAAATGGAGGTTATGATATATTTTGTAGTGAATTTTTTAACCTTTTTTCCTGATTTTAGTAAAATATTTTATTCCATTGAGCAGTGAGAGATCTTTTGCGTGTCAGTACCTACAGCGACACGGGAATTTACACGGTCTCATCCAAAGGACCGGTCTCCAAGTCCCACAGTGGGATTCGAACCGTCAACGTTAGGATCAACTCCTTCCTTAGCGTTTCTAGAGCAGACGCTCTAACCACTGTTCCACGCGGGCGACTATATAATTTAAAAAGAATAAGTAGAAATCTGAATTTTGACCTCTGTGTAAACATATTAATTAACTTCAACAGCACAATTAAAGTACAAAGAATGACTTTAAATAAAAGATTTATTTTCTTATTTAACACTTTATTCTCATTATTTAACAATTTTCGTTCTTTTTTTCAGCAGACATCTTTTCTAACAGCCTACAATAAATAAAAAGAAATTGTTGAGACAATGCAACCTTTAATTTTCATCTTAATCATAGAAATTTTAATTCATACTTTTCATATAATCATTTTGTATATATGTTTCTATAATGGCTTGACTGTTACATTTGTTCTGAAGTGAAGAAAAGTTAACAATGTATCATTATGATTTTATATTTAGGTTAATATCATTCAAATTCTAAAGGCTAACTACAGATTGTGTACATGTATGAAAAAGAATATAGGCAACGGGGACTAGGAACTGTTTCTATACTAATAAGAAAACATATTAAAAAGTTTTTAAGGTAATTGAACTATACCTTGAAATAATCTATAGGGAAAAAGAAAAGTGTCCTTGGACCAAACCAACCATCATCATCATCATCATCATCATCATCATCCTCAATCAAAGGCTGAAAATATACAATAAAGAGAAATTATATAGTAGCCATGTACTTATTGATCAAAAGGTATAAATTGAACATCATTAATTTGATGTGAATTTTTGAATACCTTATATTAAAAGTCTATTTCAGTTTTATATTACCTTTAATGTTTTCTCCTGATCCTTAGAGACTTCTTGCTTTTGGCTAACTGGTACCGGTACAAGAACTTCTTCATCACACACATAGGATCTCTCTCCTGACAAATCAACATTACATGCTGATGATATCATCTCTGACAAATCCTCATCATCATCTGTGGATGTTTTTGCTGACAAATCTTCATAATATGCAGATGACAGTTTTTCTAACAATTCTTCATCATGTGCAGCTGCCTTCTGTGCCAATAATTCTTCACCACATGCACTTTTCTTCACTCCCTCCTCTTTACATGTTGGTAACATATCTGACAATTGTTCCTCATATTTATTAGCATTTTCTTTGGAAAATTGCTCACCACAAAGAGTTGACTTCATCACCCCTGACATTTCATCACAAGCGGTTGAGTTGATTTCTGACAAATATTTATCACTTACTGGTGTCTTTTCCAATGATTCCTTAACACACACTGGTGACATTGTCTCTGACATTTCTTCATGTTGTGCTGTTTTCGCTCCTGACATCTCTTCATGTTGTGCTGTTTTCGCTCCTGACATCTCTTCATGTTGTTGTGCTGACATCTCTTCATGTTGTGCTGTTTTCACTCCTGACATCTCTTCATGTTGTGCTGTTTTCTCTCCTGACATTTCTTCATGTTGTGCTGTTTTCTTCATTGACATCTCTTCATGTTGTGCTGTTTTCTCTTTTGACATCTCTTCATGTTGTGCTGTTTTCGCTCCTGACATCTCTTCATGCTGTGCTGTTTTCTCTTTTGACATCTCTTCATGTTGTGCTGTTTTCTCTCCTGACATCTCTTCATGTTGTGATGTTTTCTCTCCTGACATCTCTTCATGTTGTGTTGTTTTCTCTCCTGACATCTCTTCATGTTGTGTTGTTTTCACTCCTGACATCTCTTCATGTTGTGTTGTTTTCACTCCTGACATCTCTTCATGTTGTGCTGTTTTCTCTCCTGACATCTCTTCATGTTTTGCTGTTTTCTCTTTTGACATCTCTTCATGTTGTGTTGTTTTCTCTCCTGACATCTCTCCTGACATCTCTTCATGTTGTTCAGTTTTCTTCTCTCCTATCACTGTTACTTGTTTGGAGGTTTCTGTAATTGGGGTTAATTTGTCTCCAGATGCTTTCTTTGTATCTCTTTTAATCATCTGTTTGCTGGACTCAGCAGTCTAAAGAAAAGTGAAAAATATAATAACCTCTATAAAATATAAATTTTGTAAGGATCATAATAATGTTAAGCTTTTTTCATAATTTCCATTTTTTTTTATTAATTAACACACATTTATTTTAATTCATAATGAAAATGAAACTTAAATGAAAATTATGAAACTTTTAACTGAAGCAAAACTTATATTCAATTAATTATAAGTAACTGAAAGATTGCTATTTTACCTCCAGTCTTAGTTTCTGTTGTTTTACAATATGGACTTTTGCATGCTTCTTTGCTTTGTGTTGTTTTCTGTAATTTATATGACATATCTATAAATTGTTTTATTACAACCAGACATTGATACATACACCTTTTATGATGTTGTGTTTGGGACAGTTATTGTACATACTTGTTGTGATTTTTGTAGCTATTTGTCTTCTCCTGCCCTCCAACTTCTTTTTCCAACTTCATCTCATTCTGTTGCTTTTGTCCTTCCTATTAAAAGATGTGAGTGAAATATTGTCTTCCATCAGTAAGGGTATTACATCTCTTTTTTGGGAGGAAAATCTTTTAAAACGTTGTATACATGATAACTATAATGTAACTTATCAAAAAAAAAAAAACATAATTTTTTTACAAAAAGATGGGGAGTTTTTTTTTTATTTACTGACATTAAATCTAAATTAGATTCATCATATACAGATGAACTTCAGTGTCTCAAACACCAATATGTCGAATACAATGGATATGTCAAAGTGATTTTGAAGTCCATATCACTTATTTGTATTTAACCCTCAAAATGTCGAATCCTCAAATGTCTCAGAGTTTTTTCTCGGTCCCTTTGAGTTGGAGATACTGAAGTTTGGCTGTATATATATATATATTTAAGTAATTTATATCTGTACCTCCATAGGTCTTTCCTCCTCTTCAACTGCGTCTGACCACTTGTAACTGAATTTTAATATCTGAAGTTTTGTATCCTGGAAAAATAAATATTAATAGTGAAACAGAGTCATGGATGCAGAGAGCTTTTCAGAAAGGGGGGGTGGGGGGTTATCAGAATCTAAAGACCAAATCAAGCTTTTAGTTAAGAAAGTACGAAACACATATGAGCGAGGGTGCTCCCAATCTTTGAAAATGGTAAATGAAAAATTATTCTTCTACTGTACACTATATACATAAACATGGCTAATATAGTAGCTTTGTATCTGGTGTAGATTAGGGTGTCTTGGTGCTTGTTTAGCATCTACATCTATACATCGAAGTGAGCTTACCACATCTGTGACAGGGTTCTCTCCAAAGTCTAGAACTTCATTGTAGTCTATGGTAGTTATTCTACAAAAAAGACATAACATCAGAATTACTAGAAATGTACTTAAACTTGAATCATGTCCAATTACAAGTAATCTAAATGATATGAATAGACACAATTACATGACTTGTAACTCTTGTGTTTTGTACTTTAAACTACTATCTTATTTTTGTTATTATAGTAATGATTCATGCTAATTAGTGCATTTTGGTAATCATAACAAATGCATTCTCTATGCTAACTATCTGATTCTACTTAAACTGGAGCAGCTAGGGAAGGGGGGTTGTTACATACAATCCCTAGCAGCAATGCAATATCAAAGTGAATGGAAAAAGTAATAAGAAAGTGTGTGTAGGTGAGGAGGGTATTTCTTTTCAAAATCAAAGATTTTGCAATTTTTGTACACATGTATTAAAAATCCAGAAAAGTTGAAGCTGTGATACCCAAACTGCAAAGTCAGCAGATAATACAGAAATTATGAACATATTGCATCTCTACAAAAAATAAAAGCAATGTTATCAATTTATCATGGTTGTACAGTACCTTTTGTGATTTGTGTTGCATTCTTTTTCCTCCTCCCCTGAAATTTCCTTTATAAGCTTTTTCTCCGTTTCTTTTTGCTGCTTTTGTTCCAACTGTTATATAAATGTACATTTGGTAAGCAATAAACATCACCATCAATTTGTACATAGTGAATATCAGCTTTATTTGTTTTTGTTTTTGTTTTTTTTTTTTTTTTTTACCAAAGAAAATCTATCAAAATGTGGTTAATTGATAATTATTCTAAAATTAAGTTGTAAAACAAATGCTACTCTGGAATATACATGTATAGCATCCCTAAATTTATTTTAAAAAATCATTCAAAATCAATTTATAATTGATAACTATACTGTAGATTTGCCAAAAAAAAAATGTTACTTCAAAAAGAATAACACTGTACATCACAAAACTTTTATTACAGTATTATTTTCATTTGCTATAATGCAAATAAATAAGGTTCAGTAATATATATCTGTACCTCCATCCGTCTTTCCTCCTCCTCAATTGCGTCTGACCAGTTGTAGCTGAATTTTAATATCTCAAGTTGGTGTCCTGAAAAAACAACAACACATTTATAGAGTCATGGATGCACAGAGCATTTCACAGAAGTGGGTTGTCGGACTAGTACTAAGACTAGTAATTCAAGCCTTTTGATAAAATGGTAAATAAACATTATTCTACTTCACTATATACTTGTACATATGCATAGCTTATATAACAGATTCAAAGAAGACCGCAGAACATTAACTGGCAAGATTGGAAATATACAGCTTACGTCATTTCTATCTGTTACAATCAAAACATTCAGTGATAGACAATGAAATGGGCGGGTACAGTTCGACGCGGACGTGGGGAAAACATCGAATTGGAATTGCAGATCGAAATTCATTATCAATCCACCTCAGCTACGCTAGAAGGCATACTATTACTGATTGACCCAAAGGACAAATAATTTCAATTTTGGTATAGTTTGAAGATAATTTATATAAATCAGAATTTTCTGAATTTAATTCTGTTTGGTATAATTTATGTAAGTGTGCGAAGGGGGGGGGGGAGGCTTAACGATCTTGGGACAAAAATAAGAAAGTTGTCAAAAAAATTTCATTAAAGACAAAACTAAAAAAGCTCTTGTCATCCTAAAAATTAATTGGTATAAAGCTATCTGACTCGACAGTTTTTTACACCCCCTTCTAGAATATCAAATATCTCCTGAAAAATAATCTTTGTCTTCTATGACCTTTCGCGTCCTTAAAATTATAAGCTAAAACTCATATTAATGTGAACTTCAAAAAAAAATTATATTTGGGAGTTGAAATTAGTTGATTTTTGGATCATACATTCACTCTTTGCTTTGAACACAGCTCAGGAGGATTG